CCGGTGAGGCAAGTGTGTTCCTTCGCCAGAGGGCTCAGTTCCTTAGCAGGAGGCAGGAATCTATCGTGTCATGTGTGAGGCATTGGTCATTTGGTTCGCAGATGCGCTTGTCAATGGGTTCTCAATCGTCAGAGCCGGATCGAGTTTCATCGTTCTGTGCTGCCTCATGAAAGGGTCATCTTTCAAGGCCACATCCCAGATCTTCTCCATCATTTCAAGTACAAGAAAGCCTGCAGAACATCTTGCTTGCTCTTGAAATGATGGGGTTTTCTACACTTTGCAGGCCAACATCGTCTTTGGCTACTCCTGCGTGCGGCTGTGGCAGCTGGGAAGTTGGCCGCTGCTCTTCCATCGCCGGGCCCGGGGACGAAAAATCTTCGCTAAGAGGAGATTGCTGAGCTCATGCAGATGTTCATGAAGGCCCTTCCATCTGAACTTGTTCGCATGGACATCGTGCCGTCATCCCCGTTCCTTGCATTGGTTCATGCTAATCTCGACACCAAACGCTTCAACTGGATTCCCTGGCGACTGAGATCTTCTGCATTTGCCGAGGAGAGGTTCCTGGAACAGCATTGTCCGCGGACGGATGCCAAACTTCTCACACGCCTTCTGCAAGAAGGTCAACCCGAGGAGGTGTGCACTGCATCTGTGCCTCACTTCGGCCCTGCGGAGACCCTTGCACGTTGGTTCTGGGATCTTGTGATATACGCCATTGCTCCGCATGATGCTGCTCACCTTTTACATCTCGGGAAAGCTGCCGCGAAGTTTCTCAGCATTGCTTTGGCCACTCCCTCTGATCGCGGTATGCGACCTCCATCACTGCAGGAGATAGCTGAAGCTGACAGGGCACTATGGGTCGGAGTCGCTTCCATTCAGTCCGAACGAGGACAGTTGCTGACTGACGCCCTCGCCGAAATGATTGGGATTGCGTGTGGTTCTTGCAGCCCACACTCTCGATGCGATGCTGCATTTCATGGCCTACCCTTCGCTCCGGTCCGACCGGTCTGCCTCAGTCCTTCCTCTGCCGCCAGCGGACTTTGGCATAACGGCTCGTGAACTGCAGCCCCCAAAGCGTGCTCTTTCGGCATTTCCAGCAGACCTTACTCTTGTTGCACTGTGGTCCGAGCATACTCTCATCCGACTCTCTGAGTGCACCTCGGGCTTAGTCCGGCCCCTCTGCACCGCTTGGGAAGGAAGCCCTTCTTGGGCCGTGCGACCTTCCTCCCTGCCACGCCCAGGCTCTTCCTGGACTTGCTTCTGGGGCTCGCGTGCCTGTTACGTCTGCCTTGCTTGCAATCAACTGCGACTGTTTCCCGCCTGTGGATCTCATCATCGATGCATCTCGCAACATCCTCGATGATGACTTCTTTGCATTGCTCTGCCGCGTGGCAGATGCTGGGCTCGTTGGGACGACTCTTGCGGCTCCTGTGTGCTCACTGCCCAGCATTTTGAGTCTGTGTCCGGGGGGGGGGGGCCCTTTACCCCTCCATGACTTTGTCTTTCCATCCGGACGTTCTGACCTCAGCTGGGAGGAGTCCGAAAAGCTCCAGGTAAGTGCCATGCTGCATGACCGCAGTCACATTCTTCTCTCTCGCGTTGGGGCCTCCGGTGGACTCATCATGCTTGCGGACCCCGCTTCGTCCCTCACATTCCATGATCCACTCATGATGGACTGGATCGCCTGTGAGGCTCCTTTCTGTGCGCAGGTTGCATCATGGTTGGCGCGTCCTTTTCCAAATCCTGGATGTTTGTCTCGAACCAACCCTGCATCCTGGAGATTGCCTCTGTCTGCACACATCCCTGCGGCACACATGAAGCGGTTGTGGGCAAGCAAGATTGCTCTGGGTTTCTCTGTCGCCGCACAGCTGTATACCCTGACGAGTTGGCTGCATCTCTGACCCGCCTGTGCGCACCATTCCTGTCCAGCCTTGGCAGTTGTGGGGTCTTTTCTATATGGCGGTCCCCTCTTCCTTCTGATCCCGCCTGGGTGGAGCCTATCTGTAGAGTCGAGGACGGAGGCGGCATCCACAGCACCGCAAACTGGTTGCAGCCGGCAGCTCCCGACCCTCTGCATTAACTCCGCTCTCGCTGGTCTCAGCGTCTCTTCGACACGGGCCTCTGTCTGCGCATCGCCGCTTCCCTTCAGTTGGCGCCTCTGGGTCCACCGCTGTCCGAGTCAGAGCTCTCTCCATTCCTGCAGGATATTTTTTTTGAGGCCTTCCAGGCCAGCCCTGCCGAGCAAGCTGACCTACTCTTCATTGCACCTGGCCAGCCCTTACGCTTACGACGGCTGAAGTTCTTGCTGCAAAAGATCCTGGACTCTGAAGCTCCCCTTTGTGACCAATGGGAGTCCGGCGTTTCTCTGGATGTCGGCACCTCGCTTGAACCCTCGTTGCATTGGCCCCAGCGCGACTCGGAGCTTGTTCTGCCGGCTTAGCATCTTTGTGAGGGCGCTTGGCAACCGGCTGACAGTGCACCGGACATCGTGCATTCCTTGCTTGAAGAGGAACGTCGTGAGTCTTGGATCACGGTGTACGCTTCCCTTGACGTGATACTGAAGGAGTTTCCTCAGGTTGCATTAGGACGCCTCGGCTTGGTGCTCGCGGAAGGGCGCCCTCCCAGACTGGTTGCGGACTCCAGCATCAGTGGTGTTACCTCCTCTTCTGTGATTCCCAATCACGTTTCCAATCCTCGCCTTCAGGCTGTGTCTTCTTGTGCACCTTCCTTCGTGCCGTCAGATCCCTGGATAGATGCTTCCGTCGATGTGAAGAAGGCTCGCCGTCGCATGAAGATTGCGCAGCACGATAGAGCTCTGCTTGCATTCTCCTTCGGGGGGCGCCAGTTTGTCAGCAACTGCCTTCGCTTTGGTGTCCGTGCTTTGTCTTGGTACTGGGCTAGCCTGGCCGATGCCATACACCGGGTCACACACTACATCATCTTTCTGAGGCACTTTCTTTGGGTCTATGCTGACGACCTGAGCCACTGAGATTCTCCCAACCTCACAGATGTCAGTCGGACAGACGACAGTGCCTTTGCCACTGACCTGAGGACACCTCTGTTAACGACACCGGCTGCGAAGTTCACAGCCTCTTTTCAGGTTCGGGCCAACTAGGCCTGGCCACAATATTCAAGCTGGGCTGGGCGCTATTTCCGTCCGCGTTGGTGGTGTATATGTTGCAGCTGAGCTTCAGCATATGTGCTGCCCATGCGGCTGTGACACACTGTGGAATTCAGCCTTGGCGCTCTCTCCCAGCAGTGCTAACGGGTCTTTCGCAAATCCACTGCTCCAAATCCTGCTTATCTGTAGGTGATGTTGCTTCTCTGCATCAACAAAGGGTTCTTGTGGTGCCAATGTTCGCTTGGTGATCAGATCACCTGGATTGGCTGGAGAATCTTCTTTGACTCATGGACTGTGGAGCTGCCTGACGAAAAGATTCGTCAAATCCTTGATCCGATCGCTTCATTCTGCAGACTGACGCGGACCAAATCCAAGGACCTTGAATTCATCATTGGAAGTCTTCTCTGGCCGACCGGCCTGTGGCGCCTGCTGCGTCCTCTACTCTAGCCGCTTTCGGTAGCCCTTCGCGACATCTCTTGCACCAGTGTGGCGGTGTCGCCTCTGCTGTGGACTCAGGTCTGGATGCCTGTGATGATTCAGGATGCCGGCTGTGCTCCTTGAATCTTGCTTCTTTCCTGGAAGGTGCAAGCCTTACGCGCGCTGAGAACACTGCCGTCTCCTCTCTGGCGCAACCCAAGCGGTTTCCTTTCATCAGGTGGCGCATGTGGGTCTTCATTCTGGACTCCGAGCACCCTCTTCGTTGTATCTCCCCGCCCTCCATTTCGGCTCTGCATTCCTGGGCGGCAATCTTGAGCTCCACACCCTGCATCTTCGAAATCAAACAAGCTCCCTTGCTGCATCTTGTGACTGAAGCGGACGCCTTTGCGGACGAAGATATGCGCGGACTAGGTGGTCACGCTCAGTGGCCTTCGGGCGCTTGCAGATGGTTCTACATATCCTTGATGCCATCACAGGTGAAGCAATTCTTTCCATCCCTGCGTGGTTTGCTAAGACCTCACCTATGTGCCTTGAGCTACTCGCTCAATCCTGCCTTCTCTGGATGGCTGCGGAGATGGCGCCTCATGCCCGCCATCAGCTGACCATCCTCATGCGCTCCGCCAACTCCGGTGCGGAGCTTGCATCAATGTAAGGAATGACCTTGCCGACGTGCTCAGTCGTCGTCGAGATGCAGTCTCTCCCTTGCCTGTGCTTGATTGTCGGGTAGGGTCTGTCGCCCTGACACGGC